GCTTTTGGGCACAGGCATTGCAAATTATACAACAGACCAAGTCGTTTTGCCAGGTTAAGAGAGTGCAGAGTGAAAACAGTCTCTCAAAACTTGTATTTCTTTTCTTTTTTCCCTGGTCTACATGGTATTTCCTGTGGATACTTTTGTCCTCCCAAAAGAAAAAAAAAATTAAAAACCAAAGTAAAATCCTATCCCTACATTTTTAGTGTCTTTGGCTCGATATTTCAAGATACCTTTTCAACAAAACTACCAGGACTGGATCTGATGATCAGCTCTAACACCTCTCCATCACCTGTCCCATCTGCTTGGACGCTGTTGATGCTCCATGGGGATGCAGCTCCTAATTCCCAGTGCCCTCATGGCTCTGCTGCTGCCCTGAACACCCTCAGCACGTGCTGTGCCTGAGGACATCCTGCTGGTGCCCTAGTAGAAACACCACAATTCTTTTTTTTTCTTTAAATAATTTGACAGCATTTGACTCTGCCAGTCTCTGGGCATCCACACATACTCTGCCCCAAAAATCTCAGTGGGTTTGGAAGCCCCTTGGGAGGCAGTGAGAGCTGGGATGAGGGCGGTGGGCACGGTGCTCCTGCCAGCAGTGCCAGCCCAGGGCTGGGGACACCCCAGGGGACAGCAGCAGCTCCTGCCAGGGCTGGGGACATCCCAGGGCACAGCAGCAGCTCCTGCCAGGGCTGGGGACACCCCAGGGCACAGCAGCAGCTCCTGCCTGGCCTCTCAGCCTGCCCCAGTACCCCTCAGTGGCTCTCCAGAACAATGCGTGTTCCTGCAATAGAAAAGCAAAAAGTCCTTGAACTTTCTGTCTGGTTTCAAGGGGGGGAAAGCCCAGGAGATTGTTGAGATCAATCGAGGATTTGGGTAGAACAGGAGCTGTCATTGCCTCCTCCCTCTCCCCTGGCTCTCAGATCCTTGGCCACTGCTGGCCTGTCCCCATTAGCCATTGTTCCTATTCATTGTAGATGAAGGGGCTTTTGTTGGAGGAGCCTATGTGGGGTCACATCACCCCTTGGTTATCAATCTGTTTCGCTCTGCTCTGTCCCATTCTCCATCTCCCCGGCACAAAGGGATGTTTTCTTCAGCAGCAGCTTCCTGACAGGCAGGGCTTCCCTTTCCCTTAGACCTTATAATCACTTGTTAAATCGCACTAGCCCCGGGCTCCTGGTCCCTTTTCCACCATACTCCCAGTTTAACCCCTGATCCCATCTGTGCCACGGGTCACTGGGAAAGGGGAAAAAATACAGCAATCCCAGCGGGGCTGGCACGGGCTGTGCATGCACAGAGCCTCCCCCCTTCCCAGCTGGATGGAAACACCTGGAAATGTCAGACGGTGGAAGCAAAGCCTGCAGCTCTAGTTGGCCAAGGGGAAGAAGATTTTGCTTGCTTGGTTTAAGCCAAAGTTCTCTCCTGGCAAGCAGGTGTGGTTTTTTTCAGTGAGAGGCATCCCAAATCAGCCTATTTGGAGTAGGAAGCCTTGCTGGAAGATTTTGGCACCAGCCATGCCAGGAGAGGAGCCCCACTCACCCTCAACACCCGAAATGACTGGAGCAGCGGAGCATTCCTGGGGGGAGGCAGGAGTGCAGCGAGAAATAAAACTGTAAATTGCTAAGAGGAGAAAGGAAGGGCTCAAAGTAAGGAGGAGCAAGTGCAAACAGGAGCACGGAGGAGACAGAGCCTGCCATCACCATCCCAGGGCTGAGCCCATGCCAGCAGCAGGATTGGTGCCAGGGAGCTGTGAGTCACAGCCGTGGGGCACAGCCCTGGGGGTGGCCAGGCTGCCCCAACCCTGCCAGCACTCTGGGACAGTGCCCAGTGCCCATGGGGACAGCCCTGGGGGTGGCCAGGCTGCCCCAACCCTGCCAGCACTCTGGGACAGTGCCCAGTGCCCATGGGGACAGCCCTGGGGGTGGCCACACTCCCCCCATCCACAGTGCCCAGTGCCCAGTGCCCATGGGGCCAGCCTGGTGTGCAGAGCTGCCCTGGGATCCCCCCCAGGGACCCAAACACCTTCTGCTGTGGGAGAGCCAAGCTGGGTCTGTGATGGGTGCAATGAAAGGCTCTGAGATGGGCAGACAGAAATTTAAGGGGCAAAGAAAGAGGCTGCACTGAAAATGTTAAGTCAGTCGTGCAAGAGACTGAGTAAAATGAAAAGCAACTTTTGCTGCAAGCTCTAAGTCGTTAAAAACCCTTAAGTTATCCCTGAGAAGGGTTCTTTTTGCAGCAGGGCTAAAATAGATAAGACGAGTAAGTTCTCAGCACTTGATGCCATGATCTCAGCCACATAATTTTTCTGGCTTTATAGTACAGCCGTCATCAAATGGTCTCTGTAGCAAGAAAAACTCATCCAAAAATAAGGTCCAAAGCAGTCTGCTGCTAATAAAGAATCTCAGATTTGCAGCTGTACTAACAGAGTCCACAGCAATACGGGTGAAACTATTTCCCTGTATTGCCCTTTCTAAAGCATTAAGACACCTTCCTTCTTGGAGAGCTGTTCCTGGCTGCAGAATTACTGGTGCCTTCAGCCCCAGGAGGCAGAAACCATGAGTCAGGGTCTGTAAAAATATCACAAGTTTGCCTTAAATATCGTAGGGCTCTTTTAAATATAGATATATTTAGCTTATTGCTTTCTAGACACTGAAACTTTTTATACAGGCTCTGGTCATATTTTCCCTAGTCAGCTAGTGACTCTTGAAAGGAAAGCTGAGTTTCACACAAATATTTCCAGGAAAAATGCTGCAAACATAAGTCTTGCAATGCAATCCCAGCAGATACATGCTCTACGCTCGTTCACACATATTTCACTTCTCTTTTTTGTTTTTCTCCATGTGAAACGACTTTTTTTTTTTTTTTTTACAAACAGAAAGTGTAGCACTGTTTTAAGTGTCTAGGAAAAAGGTATCATAATGAGAATAATAAGAAGTCAAACCACTTTTGCCCTTCTGCAGGGCCCAGTCCAAAGCCCATTGATGTCAGCAAAGTCTTTTCATTGGCTTCAATGAGCTGGATCAGAGCACAGATTTATAAAGGCATTTAGGTTCCTAATGATGTAAGTAGTTGCCTAGAGGTGTTGGTGGCCTAACCTGCTTATAGCATTTTGTAAATCTACTTATTTATTGCAGCACTGAAATACCTGAAACGCTACAGTATCTTGAAGTCACCAAACACACTGAGATGTCGTAGAGTAATTCATTGCAAATAGCATTTGTTATTAATTTTGGTCTGTTTACTATTTGGAAACACATTTTTATTAGCCAGCCAGCTCTGCAGATGGCTGATTAGAATTCAATGCAATTTTTCTCCCCTCTTTTCATTGCATAATTTGCAGATACACCAGCTTTATTTCCAAGTAGTTGAAGTTTAAGTCCTCAGCTAGGTCCACACCAAACAGAAGGAGAAAAAAAGATCTAAGTCAAGTGTTTCATGTGCAAGTTTGTTTGAAAATTCTATAATCTATGACAAACATTTCGAATTAAGAGGGCATTCCCACAGGCAATGAAATAGCGAAGCCCTTAGAATCAGGCAGCCGAGCCACGAAGCTGAGAGCTATTTCCACATTTTATGTACTCTCTAAGGAGAAGAGCAAATTCCAAGAGCAATATCGTGTTGCATTTGCAGATATTTCTTACCAACCGTGGGCCAGATTCTGCAGCCAGCCTAGGAGGGGCAGATTGTGCAAATTAGAGGGGGAAAGTCTGATTTGGGGTGTTCCTCTTGGTTGTGATACCGTGAGCGTGTTTTACACCCAGCAGTGGCTTCGCTGAGCTTAAGGGGGGCTGTTCTTCCATGCAAAGGGATTTGTGTCTGTCAGGGTGGATTATTTGGCATATCAGGAATTGTTCTCAGGTCCGGAGGGATGCAGGGGGGGTTGTTTTAAAAACCTGAGTGGCCGGACAGGCAGGTGGCCAGCGCGGTCAGCCAAACCCCACCAGGGTCTCACCGCACCGCCCGTGCTGGACACAAAAGTCCTGCGGAGTTGGGCTGCCCAAGCAGGCTGCCCGTGGGCAGCAGGGCGTCCCACTGAGGCTGGAGAGCAGTCAGCACCGAGAGGAAAACTAGGCAACAGTTCCCAGATCTCCTCCCTGCCCCGCGGGATAGTCTCAGGGCATCCTTGCGACAGCTTCTGGGGCACCCCCGCAGCTCCCGGGGCAGCCTGCGGGGCATCCTTGCATCTGTCTACCTCCGGGACAACCTCCTGGCCACCCACACATCCCCCGGGGCATCCCCGCATCCTCCGGGACAATCTCCCGGACACCCACACATCCCCCGGAGCATCCCCACATCCTCCGGGACAACCTCCCGAACACCCCCGCATCCCGTGGCACATCCCCCGGGGCATCTCCGCATCCTTCGGGACAATCTCCCGGACACCCACACATCCCCCGGGGCATCTCCGCATCCTTCGGGACAATCTCCC